CGGCTTGATACCCATTTCTATATGACTCTCTTAGTTGGTACCTGGCTTGGCCCCCTGTTGCGTGGCCACCAAGTCAGTCTCGCCGGCTTGATACCCCTATGGCTCCATACTTAGCCAATTCTCATATACTTTGGTACCAGGCCCTCCTTGCCGGCTTGGTACCCGGTCGCCTTGCTTGGCTGCCAAGCCTGTCTTGCCGCCTTGATACCTTGTAGGGGTCTTGGTACCGAGGCTGCCTTGCCGACCTGGTACCCCCTTAGCTCCATACTTAGCCAAATTCATGCTTTTCATGTCTTGGTACCAAGCCCTGCCCCTTGGCAATGGGATTCCATACTTAGCCAATTTTCATGTCTTTTGGTATCTTGTCGGCTTGATACCCCTTTGGCTCCATACGTTTGGCACCCCGTTGTGTCTTGTTTTCCATACTTAGCCAAATTTAATACTTGGGTACCAGGCATGCCTTGTCGGCTTGGTACCCTCTCGCTATGGCTTGGTACCCTCTATACTTAGCCAAATTCAACTCGGCATCATGCTTGACACCTAGTGCAAGGACCCCCTTGGACGACATCATGCATGACCCCCTGGTGGTGTCATGCTTGACCCCTCTTGTACGGTGGGTCTCAACACTTAGCCAATTTTAGCCTTCTTTCCCATTATGTCTAGCACAATGACCCCTTTGCATGACATCATGCTTGACCCCCTGGGTGAGACCCCCCTTGGACGAGATCATGCATGACTCCCCTTGTGGTTGAGTCTCCATACTTAGTCAAATTTCATACCAAGGACTGGAGGCATCGTCCGGCTATGGGGGCCACGGAGACGGGTCGGCCATCGTATAGAGAAGAAGGTGTTTGGCCACTTAGGCCCAAAAACCCAACCCAACAAGGCCTAGCTAGCTCTTTTAATTATTAATGTTGAGCTAGTCTTATAAATCTATTGAATTGCTTGTAGTTAATCGATGTGGTAGAAGCTGATTTTTTTTATGAGTAAACAGTGCTCGACTTGAGCATAAAGCCTTGGCGTTGCAGAGAGTTTCAGCTTTAATTTTTATAATCAAACGGACAAGTTGTTTAGAGGTGCAACTATGTTTTTACACGAGACAAGATGGGTTATATTTTCTCAATATTCGATTCAAGGATAATATGTACCAGTATAGATTAAGTAAATATTTAAAAGATGTAGGATAGTGGCTATCAACTTCGTCCTAACTTCTATCTTAAAAAATTATTACGATAATGATGAGTCAGCGAAGAGCGCTCCCCATATCGAATTGTGATTGAAACTTTTTTCTTGCCCAGTCATTCTAGTTAAGCTACCGATTAGGATTCCATTAAGCTTCAGGCGTTGTATTGCGATTAAGCTTTTAACTCGATAATAGAGAACCTCTAATCCTAATTTTGATTTTCATGCATTGAACTTCTGGTTTTCTAAACTGAGTCTTGAGAAATCGTAATGGGTAAATTATCTCCCAATGGCATACACCTTGTTGGATCTCTCCAAATAATTTAAATTATTGGGATCAATTGGTTCATAACATTGTATTAGAGTTGGTTTGATCGTGAAATCACTTGTTCAAATCCTAATAACCCCCAATATTAGCATGTGATTCAAGCACAATTATGATAAGTCTATGCAAAATTCAAACCCTCAATTGACTTTTGTTTGATGCATCGTGTAAGAAAGTGGTTAATCCTCTTTTCTTTTTGGGCTAATACCACTACAACACCCGAACTATGGACAAAATGCCACTTGTGTCCTATTCTTTCCGATATTCCATTTATATCCTAAACTATTACTCCGTTAGTGTTGACCGATGTTGACTGTTAGTTTTTAACAGAAAATCCAGTCACTGTCAACGTGGCATCTGACCTGGAATTTTTAATTTCACTTTTTATTCAACAAATAAAAATAAAACAAAAAAAAATGTAAAGTTCCTTCACTTTCCCCTCTTCGATGCTTTCCCGTCTCCCATTACTTCTCTCTTCAAATCCGCCGCTCACAACAAAATTCGATTTGCCGGGGAAGAGTCACCGCCACCGCACCTTTTCGCTAACTTTCCTCTACCGCCTCTTCATCATCCTCACCGCAGTCCGTCTGCCCTCCATCCTTCCCCGTCGTCGTTCTCCACATCTCCCACACCTCCAGATCTGCTCCAAACCTTTCGATCTCTCTGCTATCATCGCTGGGTCTCGCCGAGGAACAGGGGAGTGTGGCGGAATTCGCTTGTGATTGGTGACAGAAGGAGGTCAGCGATTGATGCATGTCCGTCTGCTTCCCTCCTTCGCCGTCAGTCGTCGCCGGTTCACCCTTCCTGTTCACCACCATTCACAACGATCCACCAGTGCCACAGTTGTGGAAACAGAGCCGGCGAGCATGACGTCGTTATTCCTCCACCGTTCGCCATCGATATTCTCCCCAGAACATCACGAAAGCAGAGCGTAGGACCCAAATCCGTCGAATTGGCTAAGAACCCATTACAAATCGGTCTTGATTTGCGAGGAACCCATTGCTACATCACGGATTGGTGAATCAAAGCACCAATAACAATCCCCACCTAATTTGATCGAGTAAGGGAGCTGCTCTTCGGCTGCTACTGCGACGGAGGAGGCATTGGAGCTAGTCTTCCGATTTCGAACGCCGGTGAGAGCTTCGGATTTCGGAAGAACCTGGCGATATGAGCGATGAGGATCTCGAGGCACTTTAAATTCATATTGAGATTGGGTTGCCGGGTCGGATTGGAGTGGTGGCGGAGTAGGAGGAAGCTGAAATTGGGGGAAGAAGGAGATGATGCGGCGGAATCGTCTTCATTGCTTGGAAATCGGAATCGTCTCATTATTCTTCCATTCACCCCCTCTTTCTATTATTTTGGTAGGGAAGAAGAATAATAAGATATTTAATTATTTTGTTTTAATTTTTTTCCTTAATAATATAATTGAATTAACAATTTTTTTAATTTTAACTCAATTTAAATTTAATTTGAATTAAAAAATTATGAGATCAGTGACGTGGCATCTATGTGGCAGTCACATTTTTTGCCACCTCAACAAAAGTCAACTTTGCGTTGACCACCATTTGGTCAACCGCTATCTTTAACGGTCAACGAAATTGACAGGATACAAATGACACAAAGTATTATAGTTGAGGACATGAATGAAATATTTGATACAATAGGACACAAGTGGCATTTTTTCAATAGTTCGGGTGTTGTAGTGGTATTAGCCCTTTCTTTTTTCCTAGATTTTAATTTTTTGTATCATGGTGGATCGATCTACATTTCGTTTAGCTTTATTGAACTTTTAAGTGATTATCTGACATATCGATTTTATATTGTCAATTTTCAGAAAGAGGGAATATGATGAGACTTTTGAAAATCCCATAAATTTTATAAAATAATTTTGTAAAAATAAGAAATATGAACACCAAAGACAACAAATAGTAAATAAGAAGGAACTGTTTTATTTACTGCTAAAAACATATTTTAAACTAAAGTATATAAAAGAGTAAGAAGTAGTAATATGAATAGGAGTATGTGTGTATCTTCTCTTCATCTCCAAAGCATATCCTTATACGTAGGAAAAGAGTTTGACTTGGGATAACCACAAATATTCAATTCCATACCCTCACATGTATGTCCATTGTCCAATCAATCATGGGCATACAATGGAAGGACATCCACCACGCGTGAACATGCATTCATGACACTCCCTCTTCAAGAATTTGATAAATAATATGTCTTGTTCAAATCTTGGTAGAATTTTTTGTACCTTTTTCTAGGGATGGGAACCCTGGCCGCCCCGCCGGGTACCCGCCCGAAACCCGACTCAACGGGGGTCTCAATACCCGGCCGCAGTGGGGAATTGGCGGATTCGGGCATACCCGAAACCCGTCAGAAGCGGGTTACGAGTGGGGATGGATCGAGAAGTATCCGCCCCGTCCCCGTCCGTCCACAAAACGACGCCGTTTTGGCACCTGGGTATAAAGGCCGAAGAAAGACCCAGAAACCCTAATCCCTCATTTCCTCTTCTTTCTGCCTGTCGACTGCCGTCGTTTCCTTTCATCTTCCTCTCTATTTTCTCTCCACCCAAACACACGAGCATTGATTTAGCTCCTAAATTTCGCCGATTCCCCACAAAATCCTCTCCATCCACTGGTTTATCGCTAGTAGGCAATCATTAATCCTCCAGTTTGGCCAATCAGAGGCTTGTTTTGCCGTCGATTTGGCCGGAAAACAACATGCAAACCCCTAAAATGTCTGTTGCAATCTTCGATTCGCAATTATTGGGAGAAATCGGCGTGACAGATAAGTTTCTTCTCCCTTTTCCTTTCGTTTTCCTATCTATTCCATCTTCTTCTGCTTTCATATATATAGTAACCCTGTCGATTGATTTCAGGGTCACTCGCAACCTCTGTTCTAAGTTCTCCGTTCATCATTACCTTCACTCTGCTCAGAGCACAGTCGAGGTAATCACTTTTAAAACTTCAATTTTTCTAGTTTATTAACTTGGTCTTTCTCATTCAATGAATGCTAACACAAAATTGTTTTTATTTTTGCCTTGTTCGAGTTCATTAGGTTCGCATCAGGGCATCAGGCATCAACTCCCCATCTGCAAATCCTACCTCTCCAAATTACAGGTTAGGAATAGCCTGACTCTAAATCCGCCCTGTTTTATGATTTGTATGTGTAGTGTAGCTTGCATGTGTCGATTGCTTGCTTGTGTGCTCTGTCCGAGTCTTGAAGATTGATTGATTTTATTTTTAATTTATGTAGATGGATGGTGCAATTGCAAATGATGCTTTGCATGTGAATGATCCTCCTGTGCCTAATTCTCTAAATCCTGATGTTAATGGTAATGTTAACGGTAATGGTAATGGTACTGTTAATGGTAATGGTAATGGTACTGTTAATTTGGTTGATGGGATTGAAACTGGTGAAGTCATTCTTGAGGAAGATAAGAAGTTGACTTCTGATGTCTGGCCTCATTTTGTTAGAGTGAAGTTTAATGGTGTTATTAAGGCTAAGTGTCGTTACTGTAAAAAACGACTTGGTGGTGATACTAGTAATGGAACCTCTCATCTGAGGCACCATTACAAAACTTGTACCCAAAGAAAGATACATGATGGTAGACAGAGAGTTCTGGGTCCTGATTATAAACCAACTGGAAAACCACTGCTATCTGCTTCTCAGTTCAGTTCTGATGTGTCTAGGAAGGAATTGTGCTCAATGATTATGGTCCATGAATATCCTCTGAGTATTGTTGAACACTTGGGGTTCAGACGTTTTTGTTGTTCTTTGCAACCACAGTTCACTGTGCCTTGTAGGGGTACAGTGAAGAATGACATAATGGGATTATATGGGGTTGAAATGGAAAAGTTGAAGAAGGTTCTTGATGGTAATATTGGGAGAGTTGCAGTGACCACTGATATGTGGACTGCACCCAACCAAAAGAGGGGTTATATGGCAGTAACTTGTCATTTTATTGACAATTCTTGGAAGCTAAGAAACTTGATGTTACGTTTTGTTTATGTCCCTGCTCCTCACACTAGTGAGAGGCTGGGAAACAGGTTGTTCAAGTGTCTTATTGATTGGAATATTGATAGCAAGTTGTCATCTATTACCTTGGATAACTGTACTACCAACGATGCTATGATAACCCATCTGAAAACCAAACTTGTTATGGATGATTTGTTGTTGGATGGTATGCTGGTTCACATGAGATGTTCTGCTCATGTACTTAATCTTATTGTGCAAGATGGTTTGGATGTCATCAGGGATGGCATTGATTTGGTTAGGGAGAGTGTTGTGTACTGGAACTCTACACCTAAGAGGGTTCAGACCTTCTTTGAAACTGCTAAACAGATTAAGGTGACTTGTACAAAGAAACTTGTGCTTGATTGTCCTACAAGGTGGAATTCCACCTATGATATGCTGTCTGTTGCTATTATATACAGGGATGTGTTCTCTCGATTGAGACAGAGGGATAGTCAATACAATACTGTCCCTACTAGTATGCATTGGCAGTTTGCTGCCATTATCATTGAGAAGCTTGAAATCTTCAATGAGATTACTCAGCTATTTTCTGGTAGCAAGTATCCCACTGCCAATCTGTTTTTCCCCAAGATCTGTGATTTAAGATTGAAATTGCTGGATTGGTGTGCTGATTCCAATACTCTTGTCTCTAGTATGGCTGAAAGCATGTGGGATAAATTTGCCAAGTACTGGGATGAGGTACATGTGGTTTTGGCAGTTTCAGTGGTTCTTGATCCTAGATACAAGATGCATGTAGTTGAGTATTATGCTGGCAAGTTTGGTAGCACTAATACTGCATTGGTGGCTGATAAGATAAGGGAATGTATTTGTGGTTTGGTTCTTGACTACCAAACCAAGGCTGAGAAGAAGAATTCTGGTTCTTCATGTGCTTCTGGTGGTTCTTCTAGTTCTGTAAGTGATGATCTTGATTTCGAGCTCTTTGTGAGCCAGAGGAAAAAGAGCAAAACTACTCTGATTCATACTGAGCTCGATCACTATCTTCTTGAGGATCTTATTCCTAAACGATCTAAGGACTTTGATATATTGATGTGGTGGAAACTTAATGGCCTTAAGTACCCCACTTTGCAAGCAATTGCAAGGGATTTCCTGGCCATTCCAGTCACATCAGTGGCTTCTGAATCTGCATTCAGCTCTGGTGGGAGGTTATTAGACCCTCACCGGAGTAGGCTTCACTACAATACAGTGGAGGCAATGATGTGTACTCGTAATTGGATCATTGATTCAATGCAACAAGGTAATATGCAACAACTGAACTTTCTGTTTTATTACTTATTAGAGTGTTCATTGTTCTAACTATTCCTTTGTTTCATTTTTTGCAGAGTCAAAGGCTGATGTTGAGGCAATGGAAGGACTGTTTTCAGCTCTAGCACTTGCAGATACAACTGCTGAAGATCAAACAGAGGGTAAGTTACTTGGTTCTTCAATTCGTTTCCTTGTTAAAGTCAGTTCAATTCTCTTAACAGCTTTGTTTCCTTACTTGCAGAACAAGAGGAACTTGGCAATATGAACCGTGGTCCACTATCCCTAGATGATTGATAGTTTGACTGTTTGAGAAAAACCAGTGCAAAGGTAAAGTACTAGTGATCAGTAGCACAAACTTATGATTGATGAGTTTTATTGATAGTTTCAATTCTCTAACACTCTTGTTTTCTTTCTTACAGAACAAATGGAACTTGTGACAAAGGAGGAATGTTGTTCAAATCAGTTGAGGTCGAGGAAAGTTGGTCTCCAGCATGGATGCCTTTGTTTTTCATTTTATCATTTCTGAACGATTAGGCTGAATGCCTTTGTTTTTCATTTTATGTTCTTTTTCAGTTTGAACACTAGTACTAGCATGATGAACATGATTGATGGGTTTTGGGTGGTGGGATTAAGGTTGCAGCAGTTTGTTTGTTTGCTGCAGCCTGTTTGTTTGTTTGAATTTTAGGATCTGGGTGCTGGGTGGTGGGATATGGGTTACAGCCCCAGATCTTTCTTTATTTTGTTTTCAATTTCGGTGGCTTGACCATCAAGTTACCTTTTTAATGCAAATGTATTATTCATGAAGTGTTTGGTTTCTGTTTAGACCATGATCCGTGGGGATCCGTTGGTTACCCGAATCCGTCGGCGGATGGGGACGGTAGCCAATCTCCCCCCGTTTAGTCGCCGGGGACGGGGATGGGGAAATCCGTCGAGATGTATGGGCGGGGATCGGGAGGCATCTATCCGCCCCCGATCCGCCCCGTTGCCATCCCTACCTTTTTCACTTAGATGAGTCAATTTCTCGAAAATCAATGTAATCAAAAATATCAATCGATGAATTTGGTTCATCTAAATAAGAGAATCTATGTATGTATGGTTTTGTCTTAAGAGTACTAACTTTTTCGGGTGCATGCTATGCACTCGCCTCATAATCATCATAGTGAGTAGAAAATTCGTGTCAAGATATATCAATCTTCACTTGTGATATGATGGACCAAAAACACATTAATTTCTACGAAAATCATTCACGATTCACTTTGATTTGAAGGCTTTAGAGTTTAGAGATTTTTAGAGTTTATAATTTGGGGTTTAGGTCAAAATTGAAGGTTTAGGGTAATGGATTGATTAGTTATGATCATATCTAATATCATCATATCTGACTAACGTCCAATTAAAATTCAAAATTCAATGTCTTGACACTACTTTTAGAGTTGAGTCTATTGTATGGACTCATTTTTGTGAGTGCACCGAAGAACTCACCGCATATATATCCCGTTCACAACGAATAGGAATAGTTGTCTTGTACGCTTGATTGCTTCTTCTATTCTTCCTTATTCTGCGATCTCATAGGGTTAGTTGAATTGGGAAGAGAGAGAGAGAGAGTGTAGACATGAAATGCATGCAGGGTTAGGCAACACAAAATCCACGCACACACACACAATGCATTTACCAACTTCACACCACTCCAAAAAATGCACCCTTCTCTTAAAACCCCAACCCCATTTCTCCCTTCTCTTTCTTTGTGAAACTCACTAGCTAGCTAGCTACAGCAGCTAAAGGAACAATAAAGAAGAGACAAAACAGCAGCCCCCTCCCCTGAATTCAAGCTGCTGCAAATCAAAAGCATGCCAGTTTGGCACGGCTCTCCTCCACTCCCCACCACCACTTCTTCCATGGCTTTCTTCCTCCTGCTGCTGCTGGCTACTGCTTCAGCCACAGCAGTCGCCACTTCCCAATCCCCCACAATCACTGACTGCACTCCAGGGCTGCTCCAACTCACCCCATGCTCCCCATTCGTGCAAGGCCTCTCTGCTTCACCACTCCAATCATGCTGCAGCAACCTCCTTCAGCTCTACCACCGCCAGCCTTCATGCCTCTGCCTCGTCCTCAACGCTCCTGACTTCGGCGGCTTCCCCATCAACACAACCCTCGCCTCTCGCCTTCCTTTCCTCTGCGACCTCCATGTCGATCCTTCTGCTGCTTGTTCTTCTCAAGTTCCTCCACCGGGTGCAAAGCTCCCTGCCTCTCCTCGAGTTGCGCACACCAATTCGTCTACAGATTCAATTGGACATCACCCTAATTCCACTGTTCCAGGTAATGAATATACCATTCATTTTTTTGTCATGTTCATTACTTGGTCTAAAAACTAATCTTTGTTTGTGTTTCTTGTTTCACTCCATTACAACAAAATTTCCTCTTCCTCTGGCTTTTGCGCAAACTTTCAGCCTTCCCTGTGATTCAAGCTGCGCCAAGACCAGTCGTGATGGGGATGGGGATTGGGGGGAGCTCACGTATTGGCGTTGGAAGACAAGTCCCCATGATGCTTCTTATGCTGTGCCTGTGGCAGCTGTTTCTTCTTGCTGTGATCAGTTAATTGTCTAGGTTTAAGTCTTACCTATTGTTGTTATTTTTCTATCTTGATTAGACATTGGATCAGGAACCGTAATCGTGGTTTGTTTATCATCTGTCCATTCAAAATATTGCTTTGTTCGTCTTCAGTGTATCAAATTTAACGTAATGGTGTCTGAAGCTGCTTACGTTCTGTGATCAGTTAGTCTAACCGTTTTGCTTAATTTTTTTAATTCAACCCGCTGATACAATAGTTACTTGTATTACAAGCAATTCTGAGCTTCAACAGCCAGCAATTGGTCTGCTCAAAATGCTAGGCCGCACTAAACTCAGTGGTCAACAGTAACTACAGCTCCATATCGACAGAATGAACACTCCACTGTAAAGAGGCCTCCACGAATTCTCAAATACCACTACCAATTATATCGCCAAACAGTAGACGTCTTTTAAATGCAGCTACTGCACAGAAAGACGGTGGAAGCTAAGAGCATCTTCAACAATGCAATCCTTCTTCACTTTCAAGTGTGGTCCCTACTGCCACCTAAGCAACTCTAGCAATTACTTCACTTATCAATTTCATACTAGCTACATCAATGCCATTTCAATGCAATTGCACTTCTGGGTCCCACTTACATTTTAATTTCACACAAATGGTTGGGAAAAGAAGAAAGAAAAACAAAAACAAACAAAGGACCCACTTGCAATTGCATGTCAGATTTTCATGGTGTGCAAATTTTCATCCCTTGAAAGTGGTCTTGCATCAATGTCATCCACTTTTTCAATTGCACATGGCTGCCACCTCAGCTTGCAATTCCCTCCATTTGCACCATTGGAGATGCTCTCATATATACAATGAGTGTGGGCCCGTTTAGTATCATTTTGTTGTTGTTGTGGTTGCAGTGGTGTTGTGTAAACAGATGTACAACCACAACAGGAAAAAAACAGAAAACACAAACCTGTTTAGTTGATAAATCTGAAAAATCATGAAAGCTGACAACAAGAAACAAAAATGCGTTTAGTTACTACTGTAAGAACTAAAAACCAGAAAAAAGAGATATGTCCTCAATATTGTTGCTTGTTTTTTGGGGAGGGGAAGTGGTCGGCGGCGGCAGGGGGGACTGGCGACGACGGCGAGGTGCACGGGCGGACGTCGGCGGCGGGTCGGCGGGCTGCGCGGCGGAGGTTTCGTGCTGCTCGGCGGGCTGGGTCGGCGGAGGGCGGCGCGGTGGAGGTGAAGCGGAGGTGGCGCCTCTGTTGAGAAGGGTGGCGGCCGACCTCTGTTGAGAAGAGTTTGGGGGGAGAAGGGTTTGGGGGGGGGGCTGATAAGTTGAAGTAGGGTTGGGGGGCTGTGTTAAAAAAATAAAAATAAAAATTGCTTCTGTGGGGATTCGAAAAATGGCCTGGTTTAATGAAATCAAGTGCCCAACCAGTAGGAATCCCGTGTGCAACATGTTTAAGAATCAGATCCAAAGCAATAAATTGTTGTTTCTCATATTTGGGCCCTGTTGTGCAACTCTGATTCACAACAGAAAATAAAAACCCAACTAAACACAATTTTTTTTCTTGGTTTTCCAAATTTCATAAAACAAAACAGAAACAAAAAACAAGCAACAATACTAAACGGGCCCTGTGGTTTGACTGGTTTCCATTTCTAGGTGGTCAAAATTTGAAAACCGCGCTTGAGAAAATGGCGTACGGGCTGCCATTTTTTGTTTTGGGCTTTTGCCTGCTATTTTTGGTTGGGCCTCAAAGTCATTTATGACTTCCAGCTCATTGGTCCTTGTGTCTTTAGCTCGTACAAGGTGACCGACTAGAATGTTATTGTCTGAAACGTACAAAATACTACAGAAAAATATTTAAAATATTTTAAAAAAACCATACCCAAATGCTCTAAACATACCTTTGAAAAAATAACAAGCAATTCCAAGTGATAATGGCAACATATATGCAAAAATGATATAGAACTACGTGCATTTTCCTAGCGTTCACCAAGATCTTATTTCCTTCGGCACTCTCACGTCTCCTTATTCATTCAGTAAAGGACATGTTTTTTTGGATTTATAACGAATATGAAAGTTGAGATATCTCCAGGGTTGAGATTCCCCTTGGTTTGTCTCGAGAATTAAAAGAAAAAATAACACCAAATTAAACAAGTAGATGAGGGAAAAGCAGAAAGAATGATATTGAATAAGAAAGCTCCCATAGTGTTTTCTTAGACGCACTTCGGTTCGATAATTGCCACATGCATACATGGTTTAGTGAATTCATAGCAGATTCCTTAACTCACCATGCTTCTATGTCATGCCATCCCCGGATGATATCCTACTCATGGGTTCCGTGCTAGAATGACACGTGCATCAATCATTAATCCTTGACCCACTCACTCGAACGGGCCAAACCCGGTTAACAACATTGGGAAAGACCAAAAGAGAGAAAATTTTGAATTTTTCTTTTGGCACACAAGTACAATAATATGAAATTAGAGGAGGAAGAGATTATACCGAAAGCGCTTGGGTGGTTGTCCTCTTTCCTGGAAGCACAATCATCTCCTCCCTCGATCTCCTCGACAAGTCAAGCCAGGAATGCTAGCTCCAGTGTAGATCGGTGGCTTCCCCCACCAGAAGGAGTTTTCAAGCTGAATAGTGATGCGGGAGTTTTGCAGCAACAAGGAATTGGCTTGGGAGCTGTTATTTGCAACTGGAAGGGTGAATTTTTGGGGGCTTTGACGAAGAAAGAAAAGGGGATCTGCCAGCCTATAATTGCTGAAGCGAAGGCGATGGTGATGGGATTAATAGAAGCCAATCGCAGATCTCTGAGCCCTCTTGTGATTGAATCTGATTGTCAAGCTTTGGTGAATTTGCTGGACAAAGGCGAGGCGGATTTCACTGAGTTGGGAATTTGGTGCGAGGTGCTGCAAGAGCTGGCTTCGGTGAATGAAAGGATCTCGGGCGATAAGATCAAGTGGAGATTCTCTTCGAGGAAAACGAACTCTATTGCTCATTGGTTAGCCCACTCTGGGTCGGGTTGGAATCATCAAGTGGTTTGGGTGGATAACCCACCGATCAATCTCCTTTGTATGATGGAGTCCGAATTGGGATGTAGGCCTGTGGAGCAGAACTGAATTTTCTCTAATATTATTGACCAGATTTTCGAGAAATTCTTCAATGCATCCGGTGCACCACGTTGGCTGTGCACGGTCCCAATGAATGATTGACACATGTCCGTTTATTAAAATAAAAATAAAAACCTAGAAACTGCTACTTTGTGCGCGGAAGGATAGCGGCGGATAGAGTATATCCCAGCGTCGATTCGAACTCCACCCGAACAGAAGACATCTTCCGTCTACAAATAAAATTTAGAAGCAGCTGCTTTGTGCACAGAGGTTTCCACCGACAGTAACGGCTGGGATCCCTAGACCAAGGGAAGAAGATAAATAAGATGAAATCGCCGGTGAGTCCATAATCGCCGACGAAATTTCCTATTTTGATGTCAGAAATAGAAAATGATTCTTCGGTCGAACAACTTCTCCTTCATGCGTTTTTTCTTGCCATCTGTTGATTGGATTTATGAGTTCTTTTAGCCTCTAAACCAAGAACAAAGTACTCTGTTTCTTCTGCAATTATAATGGCTAGAGAAAAAAAGTATCTCTTTTGATCTCTACATGTTGGGATGAATAGTTTTGAAAAGCTATAAATGAAATTCCTAATTAATTATTCAGTATTTTCCCATAATACGTAAATAAGATGGATAATTAATAAAAAAAATATTATGGAAATAATTAGGAATAATTATCTTAATAGATTATATTTTAATTATGGGAGTAATTATCTCCCTAATTAAAATGTGGCATTCCCAAAGAAAGATGGAATATTTTGATTTTCTACTCCTATAAATAGGAGACGCCCCAGACCCTCTAAACATACCTCAGAAGAGCAGAAACACGAGAGAGATTGAATTCATAGAGCTCCGGTTTTTCGCACAAAACTGATGAGCAACAAAATTAGAATGGCTGTTTTATCTTGGAGGCGTCCGGCTGATAATCTGATGTGCACAATACGAGATAGTGTCGCGAACGTCTTAAAGAGAGCGACCTAGTCCGCGACTCAGCCATATCGGTAACCCTAATTTTTCTGTTCGGTTTATAACACTATCCACTAGGCCCCAACCCAACAAAACAAACAACCGCCGGACACATTTATTCTTCACTATCGGCGACAGAAGATGTCTTTTGGTGGGGGTGGAGTCCAAATCGGCGCCAGAATGAGGCATTTTAGTGTGCTTTATAGTATTGGTGCTATAAAAACATTTACAGCCATTAGATCATGTTCAAACTATATCAACCATTAGATTTTATTTAAATTATTAATATTTTATTTTATTTATGTGGACAACCGGTACAACCGGTTGTCTGAAATTATTTGGGCCGAAACCATTCTTCTCACCTCTTCTCACGGCCGAAACCATTCTTCTCACCTCTTCTCACCGCCGAAACCATTCTTCCTTCGATCCTCTTCCTTCGATCCTCTCCACGCAGCTAGCGAGCAGTGAAGACGGCGACAGTGAAGACGGCGAGCAGTGGGTGACGACGAGTGAAGACGGCGAGCAGTGGGTGACGACGAGTAGAAGAAGCTTGTCGATTGCAGCGATTCGGATTCCGGATTCCGACGACGACAGTGAAGGCGGCGAGCCAGATTCCGACGACGACAGTGAAGGCGGCGAGCAAGGGACGACGAGAGCGAGCATCTCTTCGTCGATTGCAAACGAAGACCCTCTTCCCATCGATAGCAAACGAAGACTCTGCACAGAACCCCCTCTTCCCATCGATAGCAAAAGAAGACCGCTGACCTACCTCCTCCACCGCAACTTTTTTCGGTTAGTATGCCTATCAGTTCTACAATTTTATTCAATTTTCCAGTTAGTATGGCTATCAGTTTAGGGATTATGTTGGGATGTTCTAGATTTACACATTTCGGTAGGGGGATTGAAATTCCATGCTCGTTTTAGGTTTATGAGTTTAATTGGTCA